GGATCCGGTCAATGATCCTTATCCTCTTTCTTGATTCCGACACTCCCCCTCAAGTTGGTGCATAGATATCTATCGTGCCCAACTTGCTAGTAAGTTCTTCAAATCTTGGTCTGAACAGTCCCTTAGTGAGAATATCAGCGACTTGTCGTAAGGTTGGAATGAACGGCATACATATTGTTCCAGCTTCAATCTTCTCTTTTATGAAATGTCTGTCGATCTCGATGTGCTTCGTTTTGTCATGTTGAACTTGATTGTGGGCAATACTGATGGCTGCCTTGTTGTCGCAGTACAATCTCATAGGTGTTGTCGCAGGTCTTCTTAGTTCTTCTAGGATTCGCTTAAGCCACACCATCTCGCAAACTCCTAGTGCCATAGACCTATATTCTGCTTCAGCACTACTCCTAGCCACTACATTCTGCTTCTTGCTCCTCCAAGTCACTAAATTTCCCCATACGAATGTGCAATAGCCTGAAGTGGACCTCCTGTCCATAGTAGATCCTGCCCAATCTACGTCTGTGTATCCCTCAATAAGAACAGTCCTTTTCCTAGTGAGCCCTTTAAATACCTTAGGATGCGGTAGACAGCTTGAAGATGTTCCTCCTGGGGAGAATGCATGAATTGACTTACCAGACTCACAGCAAATGCTATATCTGGTCGTGTGTGTGACAAATAGATTAACTTTCCAACTAGTTTTTGATATCGGGCAGTATCTACTGGTCTTCCTCCCCTATTTTCAAACTTTTGATTTGGATCAATTGGTGTTTCAGCAGGCCTGTCCATAGTAGGCCCTGCCCAATCTGCGTCTGTGTATCCCTCAATACTCCGTTTTTCACTTTTCTCAAAGAACAATCCTTTTCTTGGTGAGCCCTTTAAATACCTTAGGATGCGGTAGACAGCTTGAAGATGTTCCTCCTGGGGAGAATGCATGAATTGACTTACCAGACTCACAGCAAATGCTATATCTGGTCATGTGTGTGACAAATAGATTAACTTTCCAACTAGTTTTTGATATCGGGCAGTATCTACTGGTCTTCCTCCTCTATTTTCAAAATTTTGATTCAGATCAATTGGTGTTTCAGTAGGACGACATCCACTCATCCCTGTTTCTTCAAGTAAATCAATCACATATTTCCTTTGTGATACTGCAATCCCTTTCTTTGATCGGGCTACCTCCATACCGAGGAAGTATTTGAGTAAACCTAAGTCCTTGATCTCGAACTCAGAGGCCAGACCCTGTTTTAAGCGTCCCATCTCAACTATGTCATCTCCAGTAAGAATAATATCATCGACATATACTATGAGAACAACTATCTTCCCATCGGTTGAATGCCTTGTGAACATTGTGTGGTCAGCTTGTCCCTGGGTGTATCCTTGTTTCTTCACAAATTGAGTAAATCTTTCGAACCAAGCCCTTGGAGATTGCTTTAGGCCATACAGGGACTTTTTCAGTTTACATACCATTGATCCATATTTCCCTTCAAAGCCAGGAGGTGGATCCATATAGACTTCTTCATCTAAATCACCATTGAGGAAAGCATTCTTCACATCTAGTTGTTGAAGTGGCCAGTCGAGATTAATTGCAACTGTTAAGAGTACCCTTACAGTATTGAGTTTTGCCACAGGTGCAAAAGTTTCAAGATAATCAATACCATAAGTATGAGTAAATCCCTTAGCTACCAAGTGAGCCTTGTATCTTTCCAGGGATCCGTCTGATTTGTACTTCGTTGTGAATACCCATGTGCAGCCAACGGTCTTTTTTCCCTTTGGTAATTCCATTACTTCCCACGTTCTATTTTTTCCAAGGGCCTTCATTTCTTCAAGAAAAACCTCCTTCCACTCAGGAATTTTTAGAGCATCCTGTACGTTCTTCGGAATCTCCACACTAGACAATTGTGAGATTAATGCAGAGAACATGGGTGACAGTTTTTTTGTAGGAAACAAAGTTAGACATAGGATACTTTACACAATCTCTGACACCTTTACGGTGAGCAATGGGAATATCAAGATCAGGTATGTTTGGTTCAGAAAAACGAGGCTCAGAAATAGGACTAGTAAGAGTAGGTTCGTTGTGAGGATTACTTGGAATCTCAACTGGATTTGGAGTGGTCTGGGGTGCAGATTCTTGGCAGTGTTGGGAGGTGTCAGCCTCATTCCCTTGGTTCCGGTTCTTTCTCCTGTAGACAAGCAGTTTTTTTGTACCTGTTTGTTCCCCATTTGTATTTCTATCAATGTCATGAGATGGTTCTATAGGCCTGGGATTTAAGTTCTCATTATTTAAGTCACTAAACTCCATATTTATTAAAAAAACTGGGATTTGAGTTTGAGCTTGCTGTTTGAAGAAAATCCGAATCTTCATGTATGCTCTCCCTCTGAAGATGAGTTTGAAAAAACGGCTGAGATTCAAAGAATGTGACATCTATTGTAACAAACAATTTTTTAGAACTTGGGTCATAGCACTTGTATCCTTTATGATTAGGAGCATAGCCTACGAAGACACACTTCCTAGCTCGGGGATCTAATTTACCTCGGTTTCAGTCATGGATGTGAACAAAAGTAGTGCACCCAAACACTTTTAAAGGTAAATCGTTAGTTAACTTTGAAGTAGGAAAGACATTTTTGAAAACACTTAAAGGTGTCTTATAATTCAGGATTTTGGTAGGCATACGATTTATAAGATAGGTTGTAGTTAAGAGTGCTTCCCCCCAGAGATACTTAGGAACATTATGAGTAAATAATAATGCCCTCGTGACTTCTAAGAGGTGTTTATTTTTTCTTTTAACTATCCCATTTTGTTGTGGAGTGTCAAAACATGAACTTTGATGTATTATGCCTTTTTCTGAAAAAACTCCTCCTAAGATTTCATTAAAGTATTCTCTACCATTGTCACTCCTAAACACTCTTATTTTTTTCCTGAAATTGTGTCTCAACCATTGTATAGAAGGCCTGGAATATATCCTTTACTTTAGATTTCTCACGTAATAAGTATACCCAGGTCAACCGAGTATGATCATCAATAAAACTCACAAACCATTTTTTTCCAAATATTATTGACAATCTAGATGGTCCCCAAACATCACTATAGATTAACATGAATGGTTTTGATGGTTTATAAGGTCTAGAAGGAAACGAGGAACGCTGGTGTTTAGCCAATTCACAAATCTCACATTTAAACAAAGATGGATTTTTATTTCTAAATAAATATGGTAGCAAGTGTTTTAAATAATAAAACCTCGGATGTCCTAGTCTATAATGCCAAAGCATAACATCATTAGAAATAAAAGTAGAATGTAAGCAAGTATTCTGAACTTGTTGTCCGGAGTTAGTTCCATCTTCAAGAAAATAGAGGCCTTCACTTTCCCTAGCACTGCCAATCGTCCTCCCTGAGACCACTTCCTGAAAGAAACACTGAGAAGAATCAAATATGGCACGGCAATCTAGAGTTGTTGCAATTTTATTGACAGACACAAGATTATAAGAAAGTTTTGGAACATGGAGTACATCATGTAGGATTAGGGAAGGTGAAATAACAATTTTTCCTGTCCCAGCAATTGCTGAGAAGGAACCATCATCAATTCGAATTTTTTTGTTCCCTGCACATGGAGTATAAGTGGAAAAAAAATGGGAGCAACTTGTCATGTGATCGGTAGCTCCTGAATCTATTATCCAGGGGCTATTTTGTTGAGGATTGACACTGAGGAAAGCAGAGGCAAGGTTACCTGTTTGAACAAAGGAGCAAGAAGGATTTACTCGGAGGTTTGGAGATTGGAAGAGTTTGTATAAATGCTCTAATTGATCCTTTGTAAAGGGAGACATCTTTGAAGTACTTTGTTGTCCTTGTTCCTCACTGGATGATTGGAGAGCTCTATTATCTGCGGCATTTGCTGTGGCAGTCTTCTTCTTCCAATTCGGAGGCTTCCCATGGATTTTCCAGCAATTTTCACGTGTATGCCAATGCTTTTTGCAGTGATCACACCAAGGCTTCTTCTTCTTGTCAGTTTCGGTTTCATTCCTCATTGAAACAAGGGCAGAATTGTCAGTAATAGATTTAGAATCTGTTTCAGGTTTTAACATAACCTTTCTTCTCCCTTCCTCTCGTCTAATTTCAGAAAAAGCCTCCCGAAGAGTAGGAAGTGGTTTTCTCCCAAGAATTCGAGACCTAACTTCATCAAACTCCCGATTTAACCAGGCCAGAAACAAGTATACTCGGTCATTCTCCTCTTTTTTCATGAATCTTACACTATTGGTTGGACAATCCCACTCGTCATTGTAGCATTGATCTAATTCTTGCCATAAAGAGACCATCTCATTATAGTACACAGTGACCTCACGTTCTCCTTGTTTAGACTTCCGTAACTTAGTTTTCAACTAAAAAATTTGTGAAAAATTATCAAGATCAGAGTAGGTTTCTTTAACAGCTTCCCAAACATCCCTTGCAGTAGGAAGAAACAAATAAGGTTTACCTATAGTTGGTTCCTTAGAATTGATCAGCCATGCGATGACTAAGGAATTCTCAGACCTCCATGTTTTCAGTTTTGGATCTCCTGTTTCGGGCTGCTTCACCTCTCCGGTTAGATGGCCAAGTTTTCCTCTCCTGTCTATGGCGAGTTTCACGGTTTGTGCCCATTCTAGATAATTCTTACCATCCAATTTATGAAGCGTTAATTGGAATGGCAGATGAGAGGGCTCCTGTGATTAGGGTTTTCTGCCCTAGAGGAAGTTGAGGATCTCCTTTCCTCAATAATGGCTGTTTCGGTCATGGAAGGAAATATAGGGTTTCGGCTCTGATACCATGAAGGTTTTTAGGACTGAAAGTATTCCTTCTTATTATTACTATGTATAACATTTACAATATTTATAGGAAAAATAACCTAACTGGGATCCCTTATCTTGAAGGAGATCCTTATCTTAAGAAATCTATAAAACTTAAAAATAAGATAACTACTCCCTAATAAGAAGATAACTTCTTCCTAACTCTATCTCTAAAGTCTCATTTACTGGATTAGATTAGGATCCGGTCAATGATCCTTATCCTCTTTCTTGATTCCGACAGTCATAGTTTAGGAGAACTGACTATAGGTTTTGGCATATTGGAAGTGGAAGCCTCTCTCAAAGTGTGTGTGTGTGTGTTTATTTTTATTTTATTTTTTTATTGTTATTTTTTTAACTACGAGCCATGAAGCCCTTAGCAATGATTTGGAGTTGGAGACAGTCACAATGGTTTTGGAAGCATTTGGACAAATAAAAGCAAGAAGCTTTTGCTGATTGGAGTGCAAATTGAGAACAAGTGTTTGTGTTTTGTATAAATAATGTAAAGGCCTGTGGTAATGCATCCTAGTTTCTGAATAATGTAGTGGCAGAGACAAAATGGCATATAAGCAAAGTCTATGATGTTTTTACCTCGCAACTGGAGTTTTGGCCTTGTCAGTGGAAAGTTCTGTTTCCACAAACACAGATGAAGTGCGTATGCATAATTCATACAGTTTAGGGAAAGAAATGCATATAAATGAGACGACGAGTCTTTATTAAATCCAAAAACACACTAAAATGCTGGCCTGATATTTTATAAGAAGTGTTCACGGAACTCTTCTCCGTCCACTGGGTTTTTTCTTGTTGCTTTGATAAACATTATACTTGCAACTAAAGTTAGTGCTGATGGGAAGAGGGGAAAAGATAATTCATGTTGGCTTTGAACAGGTTTTTGATCAGGACATTGGGCAAGACAAGCGCTTGGGAATAGCAAAATTACCTTTGATTGAGCTGGAAGCAGAAACTTTAAAAGAGTATGAACTGAGACTGCTAGCGTCACTCGACACGCTGAAAGTGAAGGACAAGAAGGACAGAGGAACTGTTACAATCAAGGTCGTGATGAACATTTGTTTTCTGTGTATTTTGGTGGCTTTGGAATAATACTTAACTTTTGCTACAACTAGACGTAAATCTTATCTTTTACATGTTTTTCGTTCCTAATGGGGCTAAAGAAGAGGGCCTTTTGCTTTCCACTTCTGGTGCCTTTTCTTTATTGTTCTTATTAATTTTGTAAAACTGGTTTCTGCTCTCAGGTCTTGTATCATCAGTTCAACAAGGAAGAGCAGCTGGCTGCACTGGACGAAGAGAAAAGAATCCTCGAAGCAAGAAAGAAACTTAAAGCTGAGGGCGTTATAGGAAGCACAATGGATGCTCTTGATGGAGCAGCATCCCTTGTTGGTTCTGGTGTTGGGCTGGTTGGTACCGGTATTGGCACTGGAGTTGGACTTGTGGGAAGTGGTATTGGCACTGGAGTTGGCCTTGTGGGAAGTGGCATTGGTACTGGTGTGGGGTTAGTTGGAAGCGGGCTTGGAGCCGTAGGTAGTGGCCTGACCAAAGCAGGGAAGTTCATGGGCAGGACTATCACAGGGCAATCCAGCGCTTCTCGGAGGAGTGGCTCCTCAACTCCAGTTAATAGCATCCAAGAAAATGGCGGTGCAAAGCCACGATAGTACTAGTTCCTGTAAAGCCGCTGCTTTACTGTGCAAATGGATCTTTGTGTTCTGTCTGCATTAGTGATTAGGTTGAATACAATATTATGCTGGTTTTATTGTTATAGAGTATACTCTTCTGCTGTTCAATCTACTAGTTTGGAACTTCATGGATAGAAAGTGGTTATTCCGTCACAATCTTTCAGATGTATCATCCTGTATTCTTGTTTATGTTCTACTTGATGAAATGTGTAATAAAACTTTAAGTTGTACAAATGTTTCCTTCGAGATTATTTTCACCTTACTTTTCTCTGTATTTACTCCTTTTGTCTGGAAAGAATCATGAAATTCATTTTTTAAACTATTAACTTGCTTCAGCTAAATATGGTTTCAGATCATAATTGATTAGAGAACAATCAAGTATGAGAATGCAATGCGTCAGTTATTAACCGTTTCCGTTTTGCACACCAGTTCGTTACATGATAACTGTAACTCTTAAAAGGGCAAGATTCTTATGCTTTGTGTGCTGTACAGGTTTTCCAAGTCACAGTCTTTGTTTCACACTGGTTCAAGAGCGGTGGCTACATGTCCTCGAGTATGCAATGGGCGGGATTTTCTCCTAAAAGTCCGTTGCCTTAAGTATTGGTGTTTTTTCATCAGAGAGAGTGGTAAGACTTGGAGGAACGCAAAGCCCTTTTTCGTTTCATAAGGTTGAACAAAAAAAATTTTGGTTCAAATCTTCGTTCAAAGCCCTTTTTCGTTTCATAAGGTTGAACAAAAAATTTTGGTTCAAATCTTCATTGGTTATTTTTCGTCTTTAAAAAATAAAATAAAATAAAAAAGACGTTAAAAAATTATGAAATTTTACAGACATGATTTTTACATTTTTCTGGGTATGCCTGCAAAAAAAGGCCTCAAAAATGAAAAAAAGAAAGAAAAACGCTGTATAAAAGCCCCCGGCCCGCGTAGTAAGGCACCCAGGGGCCGGGATAGGTAAAAAATTTACATTTTTAATTATGTTTTGCATTCTAAAATTAATACACGATTTTTAGGAATGAATGCAACAAGCGGCACCATTATTTGATGAATATTCTATTTTTATTATTTTCTTTACTTTTCATCTTTAAAAATAAAAACGACGTCAAAAAATTCTGAAATTTTGTAGACACGATCCTTACATTTTTCTGAGCATGCCTGCAAAAAATGGCCTCAAAAAATGACAAAAAAAAGTAAAACGCTGTTAAAAGTCCTCAACCTATGTAGTGGGGCGCCCAGGGGCCGGGATGGGTCAAACATTTACATTTTTATTTATGTTTTACATTTTAAAATTAATATACAATTTTTAGGAATTAATGCAACAATCGCCACTATTTTTTGATGAATATTCTATTTTTTTATGATTTTCTTTATTTTTCATCTTTGAAAAATAAAATAAAATAAAAACGACGTCAAAAAATTATGAAATTTTGCATACATGATCCTAACATTTTTTTGGGCATGCCTACAAAAAATGACAAAAAAAGTAAAACACTGTCTAAAAGCCCCCAGCTCGCAGCATAGTGGGGTGCCCAGGGGCCGAGATGGTACACAAATTTACATTTTTATTTATGTTTTACATTCTAAAATTAATATACGATTATTAAGAATTAATACAATAAGCGGCACCATTTTTTAATGAATATTCTATTTTTTTATGATTTTCTTTAATTTTCATCTTTGAAAAATAAAATAAAATAAAAACGACGTCAAAAAATTATGAAATTTTGCATACATGATCCTAACATTTTTTTGGGCATGCCTACAAAAAATGACAAAAAAAGTAAAACACTGTCTAAAAGCCCCCAGCTCGCAGCATAGTGGGGTGCCCAGGGGCCGAGATGGTACACAAATTTACATTTTTATTTATGTTTTACATTCTAAAATTAATATACGATTATTAAGAATTAATACAATAAGCGGCACCATTTTTTAATGAATATTCTATTTTTTTATGATTTTCTTTAATTTTCATCTTTGAAAAATAAAATAAAATAAAAACGACGTTAAAAAAATATGAAATTTTGCAGATACGATCTTGACATTTTTCTGGGCACACCTGCAAAAAATGACCTAAAAAATAACAAAAAAAAAGTAAAACGCTGTCAAAAACCCCCTGCTCGCGTAGTAGGGCGCCCAGGGACCGGGATGGGTAAAAAATTTACATTTTTATTTATGTTTTGCATTCTAAAATTAATATATGATTTTTAAAAATTAATGCAACAAGCGCACCATTTTTTGATGAATAATCAATTTTTTATGATTTTCTTTATTTTTTGTCTTTAAATAATAAAATAAAATAAAAACGACGTCAAAAAATTATGAAAATTTTCAGACATGATCCTTACATTTTTCTCGGCCTTTTCACAAAAAATGGCCTTAAAAAATGACCAAAAAAGTAAAATGTTGTCAAAAAGTCCCTGACCCCCTGAAGTGGGGCCTAGGGGCTGCGATGGGTTAAAAATTTATATTTTTATTTATGCTTTACATTCTAAAATTAACATAAGATTTTCAAGAATTAATACAACAAGCGACACTATTTTTTGATGAATATTTTATTTTTTATGATTTTCTTAATTTTTCATCTTTGAAAAATAAAATAAAATGAAAACGACGTCAAAAAATTCTGAAATTTTGTAGACACGATCCTTACATTTTTCTGAGCATGCCTGCAAAAAATGGCCTCAAAAAATGACAAAAAAAAGTAAAACGCTGTTAAAAGTCCTCAACCTATGTAGTGGGGCGCCCAGGGGCCGGGATGGGTCAAACATTTACATTTTTATTTATGTTTTGTATTTTAAAATTAATATATGATTTTTAGGAATTAATGCAACAAGCGCTACCCTTTTTTGATGAATATTCTATTTTTTATGATTTTCTTTATTTTCATGTTTGAAAAATAAAATAAAATAAAAACGATGTCAAAAAATTATGAAATTTTGCAGACACGATCCTTACATCTTTCTGAGTAGTTGCAAAAAATGACAAAAAAAAGAAAAACGCTGTAAAAAAGCCCCCCGCTTGTGTAGTAGGGCGTGCAAGGGCTGGGATGGGTCAAACATTCATATTTTTATTTATTTTTTCTGTTTTAAAATTAATATACGATTTTTAGGAATTAATGCAACAAGTGCCACCACTTTTTGATAAATATTCTATTTTTTATGATTTTCTTTATTTCGTGTCTTTGAAAAATAAAATAAAATAAAAATGACATCAAAAAATTATGATATTTTGCAGATACGATCCATACATTTTTATGCGCATGCCTGCAAAAAATGGCATCAAAAAATGACAAAAAAGTAAAATGCTGTCAAAAAGCCCCGGCCCGCGTAGTGGGGCACCCAGGGGTTGGGACAGGTAAAAAATTTACATTTTTATTTATGTTTTGCATTATAAAATTCATGAATGATTTTTACGAATTAATGCATCAAGCGCACCATGTTTTTGATGAATATTCTATTTTTTATAATTTTCTTTCTTTTTCGTATTTGAAAAATAAAATAAAATAAAAACGACGTCAAAAAATTATGAAATTTTGCAGACACAATTCTTACATTTTTATGGGCATGCCTGCAGAAAATGGTCTAAAAATGATAAAAAAAATGTAAAACGTTGTCAAAAAGCCCCCCGCCTGCGTAATGGGGTGCCTAGAGGCCGGGATGGGTCAAACATTTACATTTTTATTTATGTTTTACATTCTAAAATTAATATACATTTTTTAGGAATTAATACAATAAGCGCCACCACTTTTTGATGCATATTCTATTTTTTATGATTTTCTTTATTTTTTGTCTTCGAAAAATTAAGTAAAATAGAAGCAACGTCAAAAACTTATGAAATTTTATAGAAACGATCCTGACATTTTTTTGGGCATGCCTACAAAAAAATGGCCACAAAAAAGGACAAAAAAAGCAAAAGGCTATGAAAAAGCCGCCGGCCTGCGTAGTGGGACGCCCAGGGGCTGGGATTGGTAAAAAATTTACATTTTTATTTATGTTTTACATTCTAAAATTAACATACGAGTTTCAGCAATTAATGCAACAAGCGGCACCGTTTTTGATTAATATTCTATTTTTTATGATTTTCTTTCTTTTTTGTCTTTGAAAAATAAAATAAAATAAAAATGATGTTAAAAAATTATCAAACTTTGCAGAAACAATCCTGACATTTTTATGGACATGCCGGCAAAAAATTTGAAAAAAAGTAAAACGTTGGCGAAAAGACTTTCGCCCGCGTAGTTGGGCGCCTGGGAGCTGGGATAGGTTAAAAATTTACAATTTTATTTATGTTTTGTGTTATGAAATTAACATATGATTTTGAGGAATTAGGCCAACAAGCGGCACCATTTTTTTGATGAATATTCTATTTTTTATGATTTTCTTTATTTTTCAACTTTGAAAAATAAAATAAATACGACTTCAAAAAATTATAAAATTTTGCAGACACAATCCTGACATCTTTTTGGGGGTGGCTACAAAAAATGGCTTTGAAAATTGACAAAAAAGTAAGACTCTGTCAAAAAGCCCCCAACCCGCATAGTAGGGAGCTTAGGGGCTCGGATGGGTCAAAACTTTACCCTTTTATTTATGTTTTTCATTCTAAAATTAACATACGACTTTTAGCAATTAATGCAACAAGCGACACCAATTTTTGATGAATTTTATAGTTCTTATGATTTTCTTTCTTTTTGATCTTTAAAAAATAAAATAAAAAAAAATGACGTTAAAAAATTATGAAATTTTGCATACACGATTGTGACATTTTTCTGGGCATGCTTGCAAGAAAAGGCCTAAAAAAATGGCAAAATAGTAAAACATTGCAAAAAAGCCCCCTGCTCGTGTAGTGGGGCGCCCAGGGGCCGGGATGGGTAAAAAATTTACATTTTTATTTATGTTTTGTATTCTAAAATTAGAATACGATTTTTAAGAATTAATATAATAAGCGGCACCTTTTTTTGATGAATATTCTATTTTTTATGGTCTTCTTTATTTTTCATCTTTGAAAAATAAAAAAAAAATAAAAACGATGTCAAACAATTGTGAAATTTTACAGACACTATCCTTACATCTTTTTGGGCATGGCTAGAAAAAATGACTTAGAAAATTGATAAAAAAGTACAACGCTGTCAAAAAGCCCCCAGCCCATGTCGTGGGGCGCCGAAGGACGGGATGGTTCAAAAATTTATATTTTTATTTATGTTTTGCATTTTAAAATTAACATACGATTTTTAGTAGTTAATGTAACAAGCACCACAACTTTTTGATGAAT